ACGACGCGCCACTATAGTGGCTTGCTCTAGTAGCTCATCTCTTTTGTCTTCGCATCGATTTACAACAGTCTACAGGGTGTCCCAAATATGTCTCGCAATCCGGAAATGGCGGGTTCCTCGGATCATTTGAAGCAACTTCTTCCTTTACAAAAATGTTCTCCGAGGCACCGTTAACGAGTTATTAACGAAAAACCGTGACCAATAAGAATCGAGTACGGCCGACGCGAGACGGCCCAGCCAACCAGCGCACGAAGCCCGGTTCCGCTCATTGGCTCGATCGCCTCGCGCCAGCCGAGCTCGCCTCTCATTGATCACTGTTTTTCGTTGATAACTCGTTAACGGTGCCTCGGAGAACATTTTTGTAAAGGAAAAAATTGCTTCGAATGGCCTGAGGAACCCGCCACTTTCGGATTGCGAGACATTTTTGGGACACTCTGTATATACAGTATCAGAGTCTGTACAGTACACATCAGACTCTGCCGTCCAGAGAAATAGCCTCGCGCAGAATTCAGCCGTACCTAAAAGGTTAATTATCGCGGTTAATTATCCCCGATGTTGCAGTCCGATGACGTCGATGCCGAGCTTCGCGATGTCCGGCGGCAGCCAACAGAACCAGCACACGACCAGCATGTCGTCTCTGTCGACCGGAAGCGGAATGGGCCCGATGGGCATGACCGTCGGCATGACGGTGGGCCCGAGCCCCGGCGCCTGCCTCCAGCAGCGGGACAACGGCTACTCCTGCGGAGTAGCTCGGCCCGCTAGCTACGAGCCTCTTCATCTCGGATACGGTGCGAGACCCACTTGCAGCCCGACTCAGCCTTACCATACGGCGGGCCTGAACCAGTACAATCAGAACACCAGCTCGACCGGTGAGTGTCTACCGCACTCACTGCACTCGCTGCTTGCACTTTAGCGGACGGACTACCACGGATAACACGCTATCGAGCCTGCTGGTAATGGATTATACTCGCTTCTGTGTTACGAACGTCTTTCCGCAACGACAGAGTTCCTCTCGTTTCAAGTCCCCCATCGCTTTGCTCTAACATCAGAGACGTTGTAACGCGCAGAGGCCGTTCAACGAAAAGCTGTCTTTGCTCTAAATTCCAGGCTGGTCCGCGTACATTCTACGATATCGTGCTCGACAGGATTCTCTGTTTCCGACGTGCAAAGACTTTCTCGCAAACCGTCTAAGATTAAACCGCCTCGAACAAAGAAAGAGACGGATCCTAGTTTCTACGTAAACGATACTCTCTTCTGGTCGCTACGGTCACAACTGTGCGGCAGATCGGTGCGTTGAAAGTCGTGGCCAAAGATCACGTTCGAAGTTGCGGAAGGTCGAAAGATGTCACGGTTTGTTTGAAAAAAACGACAGTGCCAACCATCGACGCGACGCACAGTGGTATAAAAGCTCGACATCATGGTCGAAATAAGAAATAGCGACGAATTTATTTGAAAATTTGTACGTAAGGGTTTTCATGATCGCTGATTTCGAATCTGAATTAAAAAATTCCAAAAACAAAATGGCGGATCAAATATGGAGGATGGATTGTTGAAAAATTAGGAAATCAGGAAGGCTCCGTGGCTATGCGGGAAGGTCGATCGACTACGAAGCCAAAGGTCCTGTATATAGTTCACTTATTTTTTTCCCAAGATTCTACAGTAATATTTCTGACGATACAATTTTCGGAACGACTTCAACGATTCAGACTGCTGACATCTCGAGGCAGAAAATAATTTTTTCATGGCTTGTGTCACATCATCGTTCGTGTCGATCACGAATCCTTCCTGCTGCAATATTTTTCGCTTAAAATATTCTATCATCGAATTATCGTCACTATTTAAGTTTTCTTTAATAATAAGGAACACTTCTTTCCTAGTTAGACAGTATCGAAGTCACGAGATCCTGAAAATAGAAAACCAAAAATTGAAACATTTTTTCCAATCTAACAAATTTCATTTTTTTCAAAATAATTTTCGACATTGCCTAATAAAGTGTTTCTTCTAACATCTCAAAACGATGTAAGCAATTTGGCACGATTTGTAGAAAGTTATTCCGTCTTAGATACTCTCGCGAGACAGTTTCCCGTACGTTGACTCACGAAAATGGTTGTAACTGAAAAAAGTGCAACGCGATGCAGCCAATTTTTTAAGCGCAGCTAGATGAAACTATAAACCATGGCTCCGGTAAGTTTGAAAGCAGGCCCTCATAGGCCGCAAAAGTTTCGACTATAACTTTACAGTAAATGCATTCCATTTGCTCTTATAATTTGAATCTACAATTTATCGATTTACCAATGTAATACTTAACAATTCGTGAGATGTTAGCGGTACAAAATGTTCTACTTAGCACCAGGAACAATATCCATTTTACACGACTGAAAAAAAACACTTCCACAAAAACATACACGCTTTATACTATCCACTTCATACTGTCGCTCACGCTCGCGAGTAACGACTGCCCAAAAAACTCGAAATTCGAAGTGTAATCGCCATTCAGGTATAAAAGTATAGGTCATTTCGTTTTTCCCACCACACGGACGCATCATTAAACTAACCAATCCATAAGTCAAAAACTCCCCAACGACAACATCGATTTTTTGGTTTTTGGCCATGATTTCAGGCTTCTATACCACTGTACGACGCAACGTCGTAAATTCATTCGGTTCGGTTTCTTTCTGCGGTTCGTCCCGTTTAATCTTAGACTCCGTTGAACACACTCTAATCGTGCTACGAAACTCTAACGAAATCTATACCAGAACCGTACGTTCGCGCAACGGTTAAATTGATAAACGGCTCGCCGTGATTTTCCAGGTCTGATATCGCCAGGCGTCAGTGTGCCGATCGCAGTGCCGGGTCAACCAGCACCGGACATGGCGGCTCAATACTGGTCACCGAGGCTGCAGTGACCGTGGTGGTCATCGGTGTCGACATCCTCTCCGTAGACTCGAGCTTCTTTGACTTACGTTAGCTTACAAAACGTTAGATACAAGAGAACACGAGGAGATGACGTTCGAAATCGATGAAAGGCAGTTCTTGCGGACGTTCAAAACGATTCTACCGTCACCGATGGCCGTCGTTTGCCTTTGAATCGAGCGGCGATGTCCGATCGCAGATGTCACGAAGCGACACCGCGCGTGAAAATAAGCCTGCATTCGTAAAAGATCGTTTCTTCCGTGCACGACGAATGGTATTTCCCGTGTCGCCGGGCGTGTACGAGCGTGTTACGCTGCGTTGCGAAGCCTCGTTCGACGAATTGCTTTCGAGCCTATTTTTCCTCATGATTTCCAACATGGTCACCGGCGAGAACCTCGAATCGAGCTTAAAACACGGTCCGACGAGAACCTGTCGAGATTCGCTGACCGTGCTCTTGCAAGACGATTCGTACACGCCTAAGAGAATCGAACGCTTTAACCGTGAACAGATTCGCAGACAAATTAACGCAATTATCTCTAGAAGACATTGTTGTCGTAGGCTCGTTACGGACAGAGAAAAAGCAGGAGAGAGAGAGAGAGAGAGAGAGAGAGAGAGAGAATGAGAGAGTGTGAGAGTGGAAAGGAGAGAAAAAGAGCGAGGGATCGACACTGAAAGAATTCGAGGAACCCACAGCTATACCTTAGTGACAGGCATCGGTAATTATTGCTTAAAAATCTCCATTAAATTTTTAGTTACGGTCGCAATTTCCTCGAATAGAGCGATTTCAAGGCGGAACAGTTCTCAGGACACGGTCTCAATTTTTCTCAAAGATATTTCTTCTACGGTCCGGCGATGGAACTCGCGAGAGAATCGTTTCAGCGATGCGCAAATATGGCGGCTGATCGGCAGCTTCGTTTCCCGCGGCGATCCATGACGACGCCGCGGGATTTCTATGCAATAGAGGTACTTAACGAGATTCTTTTTAATATGTTCTTAGCAGAATTTTTGTGTACTCGTGTTAACAGGCGCGACGAGATCATTTCGATTCGATGATAATTAAAGTAACGTAGGCAGCAGAAGATATCGACACCTTGCGAACTATCGGAGAAGAATCGAAGAGGTTCGAGAAGCTCTCGAGCCATCTCTGTGCGTCACGAATGTCCGATTGTAAAACGATTCCGCGTGAACAGCGAGACGACGCGATCGTGGTTGTGGTATCGGATTCGCGAAAATTGAATGTAATTCATCGCGCGAACATGTTCTTGTACAAAGAGATTGTAACGAACGACGGTGAAGAGAGCTTGAAAGTCGTCGAAAAGCGACGCTTTCATTTTACGATATTTCTTTGAACTCGAGTTGAATGAAATTCGTATTCGGGGCGAAGACGAAACAAAACAACAACAACAAAAAAACAAAAAACAAAATGTGTTCGAAGACAAGAGGAACGACGAAGAAAATTCGTGACGATAGGCGATTTCGCTTCTGGAGATCGCACAACTCGATTAAGCGGAATAATTCGAAGGTGCGCGACGAAACCGAACGGATGGTATCAACAGCGGGGGGGTAATTAGCAATGGCGTCTGGCAGAGTTTTTAACCGCAGTTCGTAGATGTAACCTCTAGGCCAATAAAAAGAACGTAAAAATAGTTTTTAAGTCGGTATTATTTATATTCGTGTAAGAGGAGAAGAAGCGAGGCAAGCGTAATGGACGTTTATTGTGTGTAAATCGTAATGATATCGACATTTATATATAGTTGATTCTAATCCCAAGTATCCGATAAAAGCAAACTCGACTTCATCGTTTGTATCCGGTGCAAGATGATCGATCCATCGGCGAAAAGACGCGACCGACACCAGGTATGTTAACCGTACGATTATGCATTCGAAATAAATAGTGTGTGCATTTAAGTAAAACCTTGTTTCTTTCACTGCACCTACCTTCTTCTCGGCGAACGTTCTTCTCGTCGTCCCACGCGTGCGCCGGCTGGAATTGTTAGGAAGTTCGGCCAAACACCAAAGTTACTTGCAAATGTAACAACCGTATATTTATTCCGATTTAATACTTTTCTTTATACAATGTCAATATCAGAAGGTACTTCAAAACTTAGTCTATAGTTTCAATAATCGGAAAAGTGGCGGACAGGAATAAAATATTAATAAAAAAAAACGAAAAAAAAAAAGAAACGACGAGTACGATCGCGAAGATGCAAAAACTCACCTAAATAACCTTTCTAATCCAGCAGGTTGTTTTCGACGAAACGCTATCGGACCACCCAAGTTCCTTCTCGACCTAACTAATATAAGCTCTACCGCGTTCGAATTTATCCGTCTGAACCGTTTTTATCCGCGACCATCCGGATGGTGTACAGTCATGCGAACGCGAACGTATTTCAAACATCAAACGCGAACGGGGGCTGATCAACGATGCAAATAGAATCGCGCGAGTCGGCCGATCAAGATGCATGCAGAAAAAAGAATTCATTAACCGACCGGGGGAAATACCCGAGCTCTCCTTCTTTGCCATCGTTGCACGTTGTAACTAGCATCGAATAGTACGAAACGAAATTCTATTATTACAAATTCGAGGACCGTGCATCCTGCCGATGCTTGCTCTCCCAAGATTCGGTCTCGAAAGCGGGTTCTTTCGGCGCGGCGGCGCGATTCTACTCTCGCGAGTAGAACTCGCGCGGAACACCCTTGCCAGTAGAACTCGCGCAAACACCCTCGCGAGCAGAACTCGCGCGAGACACCCTCGCCAGTAGAACTCGCTCGGAACACCCTCGCGAGCAGAACTCGCGCGAGACACCCTCGCGAGCAGAACTCGCGCGAGATACTCTCGCGAGCAGAACTCGCTCGGAACACCCTCGCGAGCAGAACTCGCGCGAGACACCCTCGCGAGTGGAACTCGCGCAAACACCCTCGCGAGCAGAACTCGCGCGAGACACCCTCGCGAGTGGAACTCGCGCGGAACACCCTCGCGAGTAGAACTCGCGCGGAACACCCTCGCGAGTAGAACTCGCGCGGAACACCCTCGCGATTAGAGCTCGCGCGAAACACCCTCGCGATCGGTGGCCAACACGGTCGACCGATCACCGAGTTTTAGAGCGAGCCCGCACATCGCGAACCCGCGATACTTCCAAGCATACGTTCCAAATAGAGAACAATTAATTGACAAAAATTGAACGAACGACTAAAAACGATCTGCGTAGTCTTGGGTGCTACGTAGTAGTACGAGTATGTACCGTGAGAAACTCCTCTTATCTACGATCTACGGTCTACGATCTACAAGGATCCAGAGATACGGGAACGCGATGGGAAAACGTTTGCCGCGTCGTTCCCCCTCTTCCCGATCCGATTTGCAATCGGCTTGCTTCTTCTAAAGTGAATTAGAATATCGATAAAACCCTGTTCCTTGTCTTACCTTGCGGGATGAAGCCTCGTCTCTTTAAGATTCGACAGAAATTCGTGAAACATCGAAATTTCTCAGCGGAGAGGAATAAAAACGAATGTGAGAACGGTGCGCGCGTCTACGAAGGGAATGCTGCGCCCTATGCGAACGAAGTTGTTCCTACCGCGACGATGTTCTTTCGAAGAAGCGAAGAAAGTCGCTACTAGCAGTAAGCTCGTCAACGATTACAAATATCCAATGATAAAACGGCTTGAACGCGTGCACAGAGATACGCATATACTCGCAACGTTGAGTAATCGAATATTCCGTTCGCGAACCGTGAGCCGATCAACGATAGACTTCTGCGAGAAAGACGAAAATGCGAACAGTTGACGAAGAAATGCATGGTTCTTCTAAAAAACCTACGGTTAACGGAGCACAGAAACTGTACAAATGTCTAAAAAAAAGAGAGAGAAAGAGGAAAGGTATCTGTCGTTGATACCGAGATTAACGTAACGCAACGGTGTCGTTATAAACGGTGGCGTGTGTTATCACGAACGAAACGAATTCTCTTGGAATTTCAATCGAAAGGTATCGCAACACCGAGAATCATCGAAAATTACCGGAAACTCAGCTACGATCAGAGACCTCGGTCGGTCGTGGGGAAAAGAAGAAATCGAACGAAGCTTCGAACGCGAAACCGAAGGACGACGACGACCGTCTCCGAACAGCCTGTAAAAGAGAACCAAAGAGAGAACCGCGATAACCTTGGACATAACCTCAGACCGAGTTCTTCTCTTTGAGCAAAGCGTCGATGTCCTTGAGGATGTCGTCGGACGCCATGTCCAGCGTCAGATAGTCCTCCTCGTTGACGTTCAAGAGGCTGTCACAGGTCTCTTTGGAATCTATCGCCCCGGCGAGCTTTTTCTCCTCGTTGACCTCCACCTGGCTCTGATCCTCGTCCGTGCTGCTGTCGCACAGCCTGATCTCCACCTCGTTCCTCTTTCCCAGGCTCGCCGACTCGGTCGACTCGGAGCTGTTCAGCCTTTCGAGTCCGGGGTTCGCCGGGCTACTCCTCTTTCTCTCTCCCTCGGCGACTCGGGGAGGCTTGCAGGAATCTCCCGCGTCGGCTTCCCCGAGAGAGACGAACCTCTTCGGCGATCTCCTCAGCTTCACCGGTGGAGCGTTGCCCGAGAAGCCCGAGTTCGTGCTGTTGCACCTGATCTTGCACCTACCGCTGTTGTCGTCCTCGTCGTCGTCGTTGTTGCGGTTGTTGTCGTCGTTGTCGTCTCGAAGGACTCTCTTAACGCCTCTTTGCACGCCGGTCGCCTTTCTGAGCTTAGCCAGCGTTTTCACGGTGTCCTTCAGAAAATCGACCGGTTCGCCGACGTCTTCCATAGCCGAGGCCTCCATGGGCGACCCGGACTCGGTATCCTGCGTGAATTTGCGCCTCTTCTTGCGCCGAATCTCTTCCAACGTGAGCACTTTGAAGTCGAGGTCCGAGCTCTTCTCGCCGTTCTTTTCCTTGCCGTTCGTCGGATACGGGCCGGCTTTTCTCTCCCTGCGTATCTTGGCTTTGTCATCGGCCGCTTCCCCCCGCTGATCCTCCATCTGGTAGGAGTAATATGCCGCGCTTTCGGCCTGGATCTCCTCCAGCCTGATCTCTTCGTAGGTTTTGCAGTAAGGAACCCTCGGCTGCGGCTTTACCGGGGACGGTACACTTTCATTGTCCGACTCTGGAAGAAACACAGGACGAAATGCAAGAATATATTACTCGAGATTGGCGTCGACGGCCTTTCACGATCCTCGACGCCATCGGCTAAATCCTCGGCCCGGCCCGGCCCGGCCCGGCTCGGCTCGGCTCGGTCCGACACTTCCCCTCTGTCATTTACGTGTACATCCTGCGGCTAGTGCTAAGTATTTTTTCTAGGTTTCTCGACTCGTGTCTCGAATGATCGATTTACCGTTTTCCGGTCGTTTATTTTTTTTTTGTTTGTTTGTTTTGTCTGTTCGTTTGTTTATTCCTGCTTTTAGGAATTTTTTTTTTGTATTCTAAAGCGAATGGATTCTAGTCGGAAAAAGGAGAGCATTTAGTATAACAGTACAGTTCCAATACTTTGACCGATATCCTTTCGAGCAATCCGTCTCCGCATCCGCTTGCAACCAGTCGTTTGCCGCATTTAATTTCGTTCTCTCCCTCGCTCGCTCGCTCACTCTCTCTCTCCCTCTCTCTTTCTCGGATTTGTTCGGTAACAGGAGTATTTCCGATACTGAACGGATTTTACAGGCAAATACTGCCTCATCCCGCTGCCCACGTCGTCGTAATTATTCTTTCTTCGCATTTCTTTCGCGACCATAGATCTCTGGAAACATTTGTTTTCTGAAAAGCTTGGTCACAGCCTCGTTCTAGCCGTAGCTTTTCGCTTCGTCGGGCTTCCGTGTCCACCTTCGACCGACCGAACGATCGAGAACCGTTCCGTGAATCGCAACGATTCCGAGGTTCGATCAGCAGCGCCTACCTTTTCTTCGTTTTTTTTTTATTTCGAAAGAAAAGGTATCCCAGACGACAGAAGAAGTTCGATCGTAGAATTGCGACAACGAAGAACTACGAGCAAGAATAAAAAGAAGGACTCGTTCGAACCAGAACCCGACATGATCAATCGCGAAAGTAAAGCGCGACGGTTTAAAAGGACGCGACGCGTTGATAGTAAAATAGTTTCTTGCGATCGCGCGTCACATTTTCGGCGACCAAAAGCGTGCCAAAAATTCTGGAGCCGTTCCCTCTACACGACAATCGGTTGCTCTACGATCGTTCTTGGGTCCGTGAAATCACAAATGCGGACAGAGGAGATTGTATATTTTGTTGATCAAATTTACTGTCGTAAATATCGATTTGCAATATCGTTTCGTTTACATCGGATAAATAAATTTTTCAGTAACGCGTACAAAAAAAGTAAATCTCAACAAGTAATCGGACCGATGCAAAGAACACCAACCATAATCGGAACAAAGCGATGCGATCGACCAAAGTCACCGGGTGTCTACTTATACGAAATCTCCGCGCGGTCGCTCTCTCTCTATCTCTCTCTCTCTCTCTCTCTCTACGCCCGAGAAATCAGCTGACGTGATTATAATTGCAAAAATAAAACGACCAATCCTCGCGACGATCGATTCCATTTGTCCCGGCTATAGCGTTCGATTACAGGGATTAACATGTATATATATATATATATAGTGTCGTAGAACAGAAAACAAGACGCGCAGGAGAATCGTCGCTGATGCGCCTGATCGGCGCTCACCACGTTTATCTTTTTGTTTGTTTTTTTTTCTTTTCTTTTTTCTTCATTGTATCAAGTTTATTGAAATCCAAGTATCATCTCAATAAAAATTAATGATTTCCATTCGTTTACATCAATTCATATAGCAAGGAATTACGGGTCGCGTATAATTAGAATGTACTCTCTCTCTCTCTCTCTCTCTCTCGGTGGAACGATGTCCTCGTCACGCGAGAATACAAAAAGGACTCGTTCTCGCCTTTGTTTCGCTATTTAAATCGCCAAATCAACCGTTTTACGCATGATTCTATCGACGCAACGACAATTTCCTTAGCCGATTCATTCCAGACTGCGGATTCTATGCGCGCGGTAACGAAAATTGGGCGAAACATATAAAACGGTTCCTCCGATCGTATGCGCTTCGCGCCGCCGTTTCTCGCGGCTCGCGAAGACAATTTTGATTTTCGGCCGCAAAGATCCGCAGTCCATCGATAACTAGTCCCACCGAAACGATATTATGGTCGCGATCGAAATAAAGAAGGCTCGACGACGACCACGAGAAATCGATTGTGTCGCAACGAAAAAGAAAAGAAAAAAAATGTCGCACGCGGAACAACCGGAACAAAGATCGAAATTGTCGTTGCTCGAGAGGGCTTCGCACAATCAATTTTCTATTAGTTAACACCGCGGAAAAAAACAATCGTTGTACAATCGTAAACGAAATCGTTCGGTTTCCGAAAATTATAATAACAGTTAACAACGATAGGATTGACAATATCATCTCTCTTTCCATCCGGCACTACCGGCAACGGTAGTAACAATAAATAAAAAGAAGGAAAAGAGCAGAACAAGGAGGAAGATTAAACGATCGATGAAATACAATTCGAGCAAAGGATCCGTCGTCCTCTGGCGCCGAGGATGCGAGAACAATGATTGCAGCTGGACGCGCACGAAATAAGTAGCCATCGCAAAAAAATGGAAAAAAATAATCGACAAAAGGATTAAAAAAAAGAAACAACGGAAATGGAAACAGATTATTGTATCGAGATGCCTTCGAAAACTCTCGAGCCGAATCGCTACAAAATAGAAAACATTTAAAAAGAAAAAGAAAACGAAGGAACTTTCCGGGAACTTTTTAACAGAAAGAATAGAATATGATCGATAAACCGTGCCAATTGTTCTAAAAAAATTGCAAAAAGAAACGAAGATGCCAGTCTTGATTGAAGCATTTCGGTGCACGATGTTCTCTCGCGCGATTACAAATTACCACGACTCGCCGACGAGCCTCGCATCGCATCGAAACAAAACGGCCGATCGCCCGTCTCTCTCGGCGATCGTTAAAGAATTAAAAGATCCTAAAATATGTAGATGATTACAATGCGTAATGTATACGTTGCTAAATGCATTATTTATCGACTAAACATCGACGCAATTTACTACTATCCCTTTTAGCTTGTTTTAAGAAGAAATTCGAGCGCGAAGCACGTCGGCGCGCCGTCACCCCCATGGATGGGGACCATCATACACGCACCCCCATAGAGGCGTTCGGTTCGCACCGCTCGATCGCTTTCTGAACACCCGCTTTCCGACAGCTAAAAGGACCAACAAAAATTCTAACACGCTAAGAAATCAAGGTCGTCGCCGGAGACACAAGAGTCCAGCTGCTGATCCCTTTCTTTTTTTTTTTTATCTCTCTCTCATAAAGTATAGTTATAGGTAAGTGCTCGCACACTATCTCTTCTCTTAGTATATTCACGCACACACGCACTCTCGAGGAAGTTACATGCGTTACAGGCCGTTTCATATATTTTTTTTTTTTGTTCATTTTCTTCTCTTTGTCGATCAAAGACAATTTCTTCGGATTTCGGGAGATTGAAAATATTTCTCACACTAATGTTTCTCCATTAAATAATTTTCTCTTTCTGCATTTTTCTTTTTTGTAGTTAATATAGGCTAGCCACAGAAACGTTAAGACTCGAAACGATACTCTCTATTTATGCATTCTCTGTAAATTAAGTTATCTAGCTTTCTTTTCGTTCTCTCTTATAAATCCGTCTCTTAATTTCTAAATAGAAACAAAAAGCATCCTTGTACAGCGAGCTTCGCGCAAGATCGAGACAAGAATGTGAAATGATTCTCTCAATATATAAAGATCTATAAGGATTATAAATAATCGGTTCAGTGTACTTTCTGGTTTCATCCGTGTGCTATATCACATTGAACAAATTCACGATAAATTCCGTTAATATTAACCATCGATACAGTCATAAGTATCAAGTACGAGTTAGTTTGTCCGGCAAGTTCTATACAGCAGAAACAAGAAAGAAAAGAAACGAAAGACGAAGACCATATTCTACTAATTTTACACTACTCTTTCGTATAATACACAATTTCTCACTCTCTCTCTCTCTCTCTCTCTTTCTCTCTCTCTCTCTCGCTCGCTCTCTCTCTCTCACACACTCTCTCTCTCTCTCTCTCCCTCGCTTTCCCGCTCTTTCTTCGCATCGTTCTTGTACAGATTTTTTCTTCATCTTTCCTTCTATACCGTTTCCACCAACGACTGCCCAATTTAAATTACAATTGTATGAAATTTCTCATTTTGTTGCGAGATATAATACAAAATTCCGTATAAAATAAGAAATCTTCCCCTCGTTTATTTTATTTATTTATTTATTTATTTTTTCGTTATGACGAAATTGAAAGTCGCGTTCTCGTCGATCACGCGAACATTAACATGATTCGTCGCGACGTATTAAGCAAACATTTGTTTTCGACTGAAACAAGACGAAAATTCACTTAAACAGTGAGATTAAGTTCCAGCAAAGGACTAGTACGTTCGAGACTCTACTTGCGTAAAATAATGAGTAAAAATATGAATCTGAACAACCTTGATCCGCGATCGCGACCGCGACCGCGATCAATGCTCTAAACACGCACGATTTTTTACTCGATCCCTCGACCATTAATAATATTATCAACGTCTCGATATATGATTCATTTCTCATGCCGACGAATTCTCTTAATAAGGATTACAATGGTTTTGCGTTTACACGTTTCTTCTCGTGCAGATCTAAGCGCGAAATAGCGATATATATATATGTGTGTACATTAAGAAAAATAATAAATATTGCAATTTGCCTTCACCGAGATTTCGAATACTCTTAGCAGCTGGAAAAAAAACGCTTGATTTTGCACTAGCTCTTTCTTTACCGATTCTTTCTCTTGGACTAACATATAAGTGAAGCATCAGCCGCGACGACGGCGGCGGCGGCGGACTCAGATCGAAATTCAAAAAAGTACTAGTTTTCTTATTGTTGTTTATACATAATGTGTACCGCGTTGTTGCTTCACGTTGAAAGTACGTATATGTAAATATGTCAGTACGCATGCAATACGTGTACTTAGTTCGCACTTCGCGTTTTTTAAAAATCCCTTCGCTTATTTAGCTGCTTCTCTTGTTCCTCTTTCTATACTTTTTTTTCCATTTTATCTCTTATATAAATACATAAATACATACACGTACACGCACGCATATATATAATATATTTATATATATTTATATATTGTGTGTATATATATAAATATATATATAAATTTATATAAACATATATATTTATATATTTATATAGATAATTAAGTATCTGTATCGTATAGTTTTATATTTCATTGTTGAAACCTTTTTCCTTTCCACGCCGTTTTCGATCCTCGAAATCGTCCCTTCTTCATCATTTCAATTCTCGTCCCCATTTCTCATTAGTGTTGTCGTCCATCAGAACCGCGAGGAACAATTTCGTGGAAGGAAAACGCAACGTGCCTCTATATGTATATCTTGTAAACTTCTATTGATCGGACACTAATTGAAAGACTGGTTTGTCCGTTTTGCCCGAAGATGCGTATCGTAATCATCGGTGAATTTCTCATGAGTTCATTCACTCGGTGCCCCGACATCTTCGCGATTTTCTCTCTCTCTCTTCCGCTCTCTCTCACTCTCTCTCCCGCTCTCTCTCTCTCTCTCACTCTCTCTCTGCCGCTCTCTCTCTCTTTCTCTCACTTTCTTTCTCTCTCTCACGCACACACTCTCACTCTTTCTTTCTCTCTCTGCTTCGCTCGTTTGTTGCTACTTTCAGCACTAATGATCCATAATTTCGCGCTACGCGAGACACACAAGCTAACTTACATATTTAATTCGAAAAGAAACGATTTATCGGGTCTCCGTTTAAAGCGTCTCAGAGTGCCGTCGCGTGCAACACTGTTCGGCGAGAACGTATGCTCCAAAGATACACAATACTACTATGATCCATTGTCTTTGTTTATACGTTAAATACGTTTTGCTGGAACAGTCTGCACGACGTTTTAACAAATTTGCATTCCCGTCCGAGCACACGTCCGGACATCGCTGATCACGCTATTCTTATTCCAGTTCTTTGTCGAGACTAGCCGCTAATTCTCGTGGAAAGCCAAAACATATGAAGGCATTGTTATCGTTTGTGTGCACGCATTATTAAATCGAAGGAGACTCTCACACCTACATGTAAAGTCATACGGGTTTTTTTTTCTTGTTCGTTCGTATCCCCCTGCGTATCTCTTCCGTTCCCTTCGAAGGTTACATAACGATCGCGTACGATAATATCTATTGTATTATTATTGCGATACTGCACGAAGAATGTCAAAGCACGTGTGCACGCGTATCCGAGGCAGTATTCGATTGGAATAATTTTCTCATTTATTTAACTATTTACCGTGAGTAGTAGCTCGAAGCATAACTGTGAGTTTAGTTTTTTAATCGGAAATCGTTTCGATAATTATCATCGAGATAATTACAATCTCTTTTCTTTCTTCAGTTTCGAGCGTTATGTGTCGAGCTTCAAGTACGATTTTCTGTTTTTACCTGTTTTTGGCTTTTTTTGGGGGGGTGGGGGGAGGACTCGGTGCCTATAAAGAAACTTTCTTCGCCCTACTATTGTGATGTTGAATCGGCATCATAGTACCTGTGCGAGTTCAGATTGTGTGTGTGTGGCAAAGCGACGACCCATAGCTATCTTCTTAATCATCCAGAACAGTTTTCATTTAGGTATCATATAGCACAATCGAAAAGATGCGGATACTTCGATCTTGTTTTGTATTGTGGCATTCAGGAAAACTCGAGGCTCATCGCATTGTCGCTGGAGAAAGATAGCCATAGGCAGTTAGAGGGCTACAGGCAAAGTTTAGATATAGCAGCCCCTGGAAAAATTGATATTCAAATCTACGTTTTTTTTTACTCGTCTACTTTTAGATTTTTTTTTTTTTCGTTCGTTCGTTTGTCTCTGTTCGTTTACAGTTAAGGTCATAGGCTTCTCTCTTTTTTTTTTTTTACTTTTCAAAGATGTGACAAGTATTTCTGACTCGTTACGCAAACTGTGTCCCGACAAATATGAACAATTAATTACTATCCAATCGGTTGCAATGAATTTGTTCGCGAACACAGCCTCGTCGAATCGATCTAAATGTTGCATGTTAATCCCTCTCCCCAGTGGTAATACACTGCGTACTACATATAGTAACTTATATTCTTATTTTCAATCATATTGAAATAACACGTAGCTGTTAACTATAGTTTCAAAGTGTAGCGGGCACAAATGTTTGAAACTATTTTCTCCAAAGAAAACTTTCATACGTTAATATCGTTTTATGCTCTTACTCTATCCAATAATAAAGACAACGATTACCTATTGTCAGAGTCGGGCGTCGATCGACAAAAGACTTTTAATTCGATCGATTAATTAATGCTCGCGATTCATAATAATTGATCATCGTAAATCGCGATTAATATTTCTTACTGATTACCGATCGTTGACCACGTTTCAACGATCATATCTTACTTGCATTAAACATGGCCCAACTCTGCCTATTGCTTCTCTAAAGTTTCTCTTCTCTAGCGAGACATTATTTTCCATTTATCGTCATTCATTGTTCCTTCAACGCGGGAACTATCGAGAGTGGTCGAAACGTCGGATTTGTAATTTCTGCAATTTATTTCGGTTTCTCATCGTTTTCATTGCAGTACGTACGGAAACAAATGTATTGACTAATCAAATTTAAATAAGACACGTGGAATCGGTCGTTTCGATCGGTTCAATGGTTCCAGCATTAAACGAGTTAAATAAAAATCCTTAGTACTTTTTGAATACTTGATAACGCTAAGTAGTGCAGTCTTTATTATTGAAAAGGAAACTTGAAACACTTTTACGAATTTACGATACACTGGTGCCTCTAACACTATCGGAAGCCGTTATCATCTGCAAATATTATATAACTTCTCGATCTAATGCAGCTGAAGTTGCTTTTTTTCTCTTATATGGATTTGTCCTCTTTTTTTTATATAGTTTTGCTGCTTATCAATTCGCTTCCAAAGGAAATATGTGAAGCGAAGATCGATTAAGTATCGGAAATGTACTAACGTGTCCTAGTGATCGATTTGATAAAAATAATCTGCAATTAAATCAACTTCACAAAATAGGAGATACACAACGTTTTTTACGTACAAAGTATCGTACACGTTCCGTCGTATACGTATACGATACTTCACATCGTTCAAGGAGCAGTAGTTTGTAAAATGTACTTATGGTATCTGTTTCCTCCTTTTGTCACCATCTTTTCAGTGTATTGTTAACTAGTAGCTAATTTATGGTTTACGGGCGTTGGAAATGTACGTGGTTACAATCAGAATGTTTCGTCAGATTTAAAAACGTTTATAGGAGGTCATCTCAAAGTATGGAAAGGGAAACCTCGATGTCTGAGGCTGGGAGGTCTGTCGCGTGTGAATGGGCGAATACGGTGGTTGTTGGAGAAGCGGAGAGCTCTGTTGGTTCTGCATTGGCGACAACGACTGACCAGGGGAGTGTGAATGGAGGTTTTGCGGATGGGAGAATGACAACGTGTGATGACAAGGGGAGGTCTGTGAATTTTGTACATTCGGTTGCGGTATGTTCAAGTTGTTCGTGACGTTGATGTTGTTCAATAGGTTGAGACTGTTAGAAACGTTATTAGGGATTGTCAGATTGCTCGGTATACTGAGTGCGTTTGGAATATTTATACTTGTCTGTAAATTGGGCGGAAGGGAAAGAGTAGCCGATGTAAGATAATGTACGCTGAAAGATGGACGGGGGGGCTAGTAAAGCCTCATACCTTCTTCAAATTTGACGATAAGAGGGTCAACGGCTGTACTACCGATAAAACTGCCTGCTTCGCTACTTCCTCTACCTTGATCCGACTCTGTGCTGTTTCCATCATACTTTGCATCATCTGCCAACAAATGGAACAAGTGAAATAAATGATCCGGTATTCTCAGAAAGTATAATTGTCCTGCCACTTTTCAATAATAAAATTATCTTTCGTATACAATGTTTCGTAACACATGGGGAAAGTAACGCATTTTATGCGGTAAAATTACAAGAATGAATACTAATGTTTTATCACTGAAAGTAGCAAAATTATTTAATATCTTGCGAACACATACTATGCTTACCTTGAAGATTTAACCATTCCTGACTTAACGACTTTGGTGTCAACTCTGAATTCTTCACTGGGTTAATGGGATTATTAGTGATCATGCGAGCATTCGAATGCATAAACGAACAGTGCGGTTTCCTACAACCGGAAGGTTGTTTTTCCCAATAACACGGAATCGCCTTACGATTTTTCTAATTCAAATAATAAAAATATTCGATTAATGGTTTCTCCAAGTTTCTTCTTTCGATAGTTAACATTTCTGATATTCCGTGTACTTACTTTCAACTCCATATGCCTATAATTACAGTGTTCATCGAGACATTTGCCCTGCTGCCAATATATGCACATTGTTTCACAACCCAAGGCAGATGGTTCATGCCTGAATGGACACTCATCACCCTTTGAACATAATCAAAAACAACAATGGTAGAATGTTAGCACGATTGAGGTAAAGTCGATAAAGATTGCGTACAAAATACTTGATTATGATCATCGTAAAACATTGCAGTGCTCGTTCAATTCATTGATACTGCAAGGTAACATCTTAAAAGTCTTTTACATGCAACAAATTTTCTGATACAATGAAGATGCAATTCTATTAAATTCACTCATAAATTTTCACAGAATTATGTGTACTTATAAAATGTCAGATATTTATACCAATAATTATATGGATAATATTATCAGAGACAAAAGTTGTTGTAACACTATAGAAAAATGAGAGATAATAATTTTAAAAGGACTGCGGTCGCAAACGTTCCAAAATTTATTCATGTGTATAAATAATTAATTCGTCAGTTATTTGAAAAAGAAGGGTATCGTGGAACCTCTGGCTTCAACATGGCCGATCTAACCTCGAGACGAATGGTACAGAAGCAATATGGTAACAAATTTGTTGAACATTTCAAATTTGCTCGCGGCGAATCAGCACAACGGATATTTTGTTTAAATTGTTAATAGAAAAAACTCACCTTTTTGCATGTAGAATAATAGAAAAAATAACAGTCGGTATTCTTATAACTGTGCTCCATTTGCAAGAACTGATAGAATGATGAATGATCGTGTTCCTTGCTGAAACAGAAGATATTTAAGTTCGTCGATATGCTCAAATAAATAAATTAGCGAACGAAAGCGATGAGAAATTGAACGTGAAACTTTACCATTTCGTACGAAACATGATTACAACGTAATGTACTTGGTGAAACGTTAGTTACAATGTTATTGGAAATTAATTTGAATTGGAAGGTGCCGTGATCACGGGTATTTGTATCAATAGAAAATGACCTTTTCTCGTTACGTACCTATTACTTGTATACTTATTACTTACATGTGGTGGCAGTGATTCCTTAGATGACTTCTTTTTTGCCCCTTCACTTTGACCCACACACTAAATCGACTCGCACACAGATTCAAGTAAATAGTTCGACCGTAGTACAGCACAGTAATGGATCCTACTCCTGCACATCTCCAGGCTGCAGCTCGATCCGTTAGCGAGGGTCAATATAGAAATTTTCTTTGCTCCGATTGGTCGACGATCCATCGGCGAGACAGTGCTGCCCTCTCAGTCAAAGAAAAAGAGGAAAAACAGCGAGTGAGCAAGAGAGCATGAAATTAGGCACAACTTCATGTGGAACATGTCACACCGACGAACAATGTTGCTTGTTTCATTCTACCGTGCTTGCAGTCTTACTCTTTTCGCATATCCATTCGGTTGCCGCGCCATCAGACACGCGGCGCGAAATTCGATTTGTAAAGAAGCTTCGAATAATAAAATCGGTTACCTCGTAGGATTCTCGAATACTCTGTCAACGGAAGGCGGTAAGCATTTGTGCCGACGATTCGTTGCGGATTACCCAAATACCCAAATATATGAATATATACCTAATATAGAATAAAGCATATTTTGTATTGTACATTGCGCAGTTTATATTTTCAATTTTTTCATATTGTACATTCTATATTTTATACTGCATTCCTTTTATTTTATATTTAATATTTTATGGTTAATACTATATGTTATAATATCTTACACTTTACATATTCAAATAAAGGCTGTTAAGTTAAATACTTTATTTATTATATTATTGAGCGGTTTTTGAATAGCATCCCAGCATTAGGGATATCCAGCCTTTTCCCTTGACTTTTGCAAGTCTCGTGAACCCAGATTTCCGTCACCTAGACATCTTTCATACAATTTTTTTCTTTCACATAATGGCTATGGTCATCGTCTGATGAAAGAGCAGTCTTTTACCCTCATGATCTTCATTCTTGCCTCGTTTTCCTGCACTCAGGGCCAACCCGTACACGCGGTTCACCTATTCACAGCAATGCTCATTGACGTTGACACTTTCCACTACCTATATAGTAATGTCTCCCTTACTGACGCTCGGATGGTCCCCAAAAATGGACAATTCGGGAAGAGGAGATACGATTATTCGAGCCTTGCGGTTTATTTTTATAACTGTTGACAATTTATAACTATAAAAACGAGCCGCAAGGCTCGAATAATCGTATCTGCTCTTCCCAAATTGTCCATTTTTGTGCACAATCTGAGCGTCAGTAAGGGAGACATTACTGTACTGTGAATTTCATGTTGTTTTCGATCGATGCTAGCGCACTGCTTGCTCAGCTCAAAACATGCCATCAAAAATGCTCACAACACCAATTCAAGGGCAAATACGTTTAAAGATTTCTGCTCAAAGCTCAGATAAAACAGCGAAGAATTTTGGCGCTCTTTCGGCCAATGTGAAATGCTATTGTAATCGCCGCCATTCCAAATGTTTTCGGTAATACATTTTATTTCCCATTGTGTGAAGCATCCTACGATGCGAAAGATTTCGCGTCGACCGAACGAATGCGCTGAAAGAGTGAGACCGCGAGCACGGCAAAGGTTTCTTGCCTGTGTGCACACTCTCAAAGAGTATCCGATGGGTATCGTTCTGTTTCTCTCTCCATCGTATCTCGTTCTCTTTCTATAGTATTTGCGCGGAGTTGCATGCGCAATAAAATGGTGGGGATATGCGAGCCAGCTTAGAGAGCACGAAAAGTGTGCAGGAGTATGACCCATGTACGCTGGTCATGTTCTCGGCAAAGGGGATGGGGGTGGGGGGCACCATTTTTATTACAAGACTCGCTTATAGATTCCGGATTTAGCTACAATATGAGACATGCAGAAGTCCCTACATTCAAGAACCGTTTTCTCCCTATGCACAAGAACCTTCTTATCCCCCACCATTCTACTGCGCATCTAAATTCGCACAGTTGATTTAGAAAGAGAACGGAAGATGATTGAGAGAGACAAAACGAAACCAGCGGGCTCTATATGTGTGAACTCACACGGACGAGAAACCTAGTCCGTCTCACTTTAACGTGCTTGCGGTCTCGCTTTTTCCGCGCATCCGTACGCCTGGTGCTCTATCTGAAATACGCGGTTGGTTGGCTTTTCTTTTTGACAAAATATAGCTATCACTGTCATTCTCGATCGTCTGTTTACGTTTAGCTTTGCACGTTGCACTCGAAGTCATTTTAACTCCAAAAACGAGGCATTTCTTTCGGCCTACAATATATGAATAATTTCATTTTCATATGATTAATTGCATTTCATGCGTATATCATTGAGACATATAACGGTTATATTTTTAACGATACATAAAGTCAAAGCTACATAGGAAGGTACATACAATACGAAGTAATTTAATTTAACAGGAGACCGCTCGGTCGACAAATTCAGTTGTCGCGAACGAATGGTGTATATTCGTAGGGAACGGCAACGAAATGCGCAAGATAGTGGTGGGGGAAGGAGACTGCTCATGGCCCGTTCCCCGTGAACTTACACGGTTCGTTCGCGACGAAGCTTGTCGTCAGACTGAGCAGTCACGTACCCTCACCCCTACCTTGCGCAGTCCGCGTTTGCGCATTTCGTTGTCCGTGACCTACGAATATTACATACGTACGCGTATGTACACCGTTCGTTCGTGTCAACTGATTGTGAGCTTGTCGACCGAGCAGTCTCTTATAGAATTAAATGTACTTCGTGTTGTATGTACTTTCTTATGTAACTTTGACATCTGCTCAACTTGTCAAAACATACCCTACGAATATATACGTTCGAAACATATCTTAATGCATTATATATCTTTCGCAAATACGCTGGACAATTTGGTTGCGAATCTTACCAGGCTACAAGTGCAAATCGAATATCGCACCGCGTGTTTCAGATGGAGCGCCAGGCATATGGATGCGCGGAAAGAGTGAGACCACAAGCACAGTAAAGTGAGCCAAACTACATTCAGGTCGGTGTAACTCGTTTCGCATGTGTTGTGTGCTGATATTGTGCTTTCTTGCTCACTCGCCATTTCCTCTCTTTGTCTTTGATTAAGAGGGCAGCAGTGGTAAGCTGTAAATCGTCAGTCTAGCATATTTTACATTTATTTGCATTAATAGTAGTTTCCTTAAAAATTAATGCTAAGAACTTTTCCTACCAATTATAATAATTTTTTGCGGAGTTTTACAACTTTGTAAGCAGAGTAAATAATATACGTATTTCCAAATAAATTACAATTAATAATGTCATTTAATTAGCTTGTTAATTTTTTATTCCTGTTTTTCACAATTTGTAAATAAAACTTAATACGCATATTTGTACTTATATAAAGTTATGCAATAAATACATTGCTAGAAGGTTTTACGAAATGTATGGCTGATTTGGTGCATTTTCACTTAAATTGTGTATATATTACTGTATTCATATTTTAAATAATATTTGTATGTACATAATAGAAAATGTAGCATCGTAAGACATAACACATGTGACTAGAAGTTTCACTACAGATGGTACGATAGTGTACATAAATAATTTATGATTGTTGTGAAACTTGTTGCATTCTTTGTCTTTGTAGATCTATATAAATAGATTGTCTGTGTTCATCAGGATGAATAAGTTCTTCCGTATGTTGCCAACGCCATTTCTTTTCGCTTTCTTTAACGCGTCTATGGTCAATGTAACTGATAACACAACTTGTCGGAATCCATACGATGGCACTTATAATAATAACTGCCCCTACTATGTTGTCTTTTAAAAACCGCATGACCTTATTAATATTTATATCTTCAATAATATCCCAAAATCTTTCAACTACATCTTGAATTGTTTTTTCACAGATGCCCTAAAAATATAATTTTACATTTATAAAAGTAGTTTGTAATAACGTTAATTAATATTACCTTATTACAAAAGCCTTGAATGCATGGAGTTCCATCGGGTAAAATATCTTGAGGGTCTATGGGGAAACACGTTTCGTTCAAGCTCATTCTACAACATCTTTTACACGCATCTCCAACTGTAAATAAAAATTTAATATAAATGTCAAGATTTTACGGTATACTAGATAAATTAATAATAATAAGTAATAAACTTACTTGTGTCACACATACAACTTTGCAAGCCTTGCGTTTCACAATATGGTATACACTTTCCGAGTCTACATTGACCTCTTTCAAGACAACCTGTTCCATCCTTCATAGGTGGAGATCTAGGGCATTCACTGGACGCTCCTGTGCAACGCGATTCTTGTTCACAAGTAGCATATTGTGCATCCCTACACTTCACACCTAGGGGCATGAATGCGCATCCTTGGCAGCATGGTGAATTCTTATCGCTAAAATGAATTTTTTATTAAATAATATTTGGAAATATTCCATAGACACAATGCTGCTATGTTTGTACCAATACGTTTGTAAAAGTGAATCACTGTTTTAAGGGAAAGCAAAAAAATTGTTTTGTTACATACCTACAAACTGCTCCTTGACTTCTGCGTAGTTTACAATTTTTATCACAACAAGCATCATTATCTTCGGTTCCAAGTAATCCTGCGTCGCATTCTTCATCTCCTTCGACGCGTAGATTACCACAAAATGATTCTTCCGGTTCAGAAAAACAACGACCTGATTTTGCTTGTAAAACTTTCCGGATAGATCTTAAACTACAGGGTGAAAAACGCTGCACCCATCATAAATGGTATAATAAGTATTTTTTCTGTTTTTAGATTATATTACCCACGCTATAATAACTTACCTTATTATTGACATCGTATCCACTAACACTGTATGTATACATTAAGTACGAACCTCCTTGGCTAGCACTCGGACTGCATTCCTATATAGTTCCACCATTTTACAATAATTAGGAATAGGTATGTCAGACGGAATTATTTTTATTTTTAATTACTAGAAATAAAAGAGTTCTTACCGTTACATCTGGATCGTGTTCAGAACCCCAATTATGCCCAAATTCATGTGCAGTAACTAAATCAGCTTCTCTAGTAATTACCCTTTGTCCATAATGATTTCTACTAGAACTTAGTCCTGAATTAAGATACAGTGTATAGCCGTTCTTAAAATATTCTGTAAAAGTATTAAATAAATTTCATCTTAATATTTGTGAACAAAAAATATGTTCACACGAAAAAGCGTCTTTTAATATACCTGGTGTACAAATGCCACCCACTGAGTTTCTACGAGGTGAACCTACATATGCTAAGCCCAGTATACCACCTTCAAATTTTAAATCGGTGAATAAATGAGCTAAGCAAAAGTCTTTATGGCTATACTCCCGGCTAAATACCTAAATGCAACATAAATGGTACATTGTTGTGACTATAATAATAATTAATCATTACAAATGGAAATGGTGTAATGTTCATGTACCTCTAGCAATGTGCGCACATCCCATTTTTCTCTAACCATATTATAATGTGTTTCACCACCCCTTACGCGAGTTGGTTCACTATGAACAACGATTTTCTTAATAACGAAACCCATTCCTTTAAAACCGTCTTGTTCTTGCCGATCTTGCCATAAAGTGTCATTATAAATTTTATGTACTCTATCGATCAAGCTTATCTATAAAATATAAAGAAAATTGTTGTAAAACAAGATGAGATTAAAGAATCTTATACTTATGAACACTATACTTTTACCAAATAATTGATTGTTGTTTTTGTACTACTGGCACCCATTTCTTGATAAAAACGATAATCAGCAACCAGTAATAAAGGGCATCTTGTTTTTGTAGGTGTATATTCATATGTCTCCGTTTGTCTTTTTATTCTGAAATGTTTGTCTTCCATAAAATCAACTCCTTCTTTTATTACTTCCCCATCATTTATTGGAATATCTGTATTATATATATACATATTGTACAAAAGCCGAACAATATATAACTGTCTGTAACAGAGAATTACTCACCTAATTCTTCTTTCACGTATCCACAAGTTTTAGGAGCACCATGAGTATGTCCTTCCCCATATTCAATATGTTCCCAACTTAATTTAACATCTGATGATTTATAAACAATCATTGTTTCGTTACCTAAATGAGGCAAATGCCTCCAAGATGGCTAAACATATTTTTGATTACTATAAAAATGAAAAACATGTTAATCTCATTAAAATGCGGTGTATGTAATACCTCAATATGAAATGTTTCATCAGCGATTGTAATACTGGCTGTAAGAATTCCATTATCAATATGTACTTGAGCATGAGAATCAATTTCACCAAACACACGCCCATGATAAAATCTTTCATGATCTGAAATATTAAAATATATGTTAGTAACAATAGAAAAGTATGTATTTCATAATTGTACACATATATTTCTACTGTTTTACCTAAATGTATAGTTTTTTCTTCTCCATCACCATTAACTTCGTACGCTTTGAATTTTGAATGTATCACTTCTCTTCTTGGCGTTAAAATTAAGCGGAAATACCTTGAGAAGTAAAGAATACAATATTTAGATACAAAAAGCTTAGTTAAAATAGTGATTTATAAATGATTATTATGATCTTACCGTCCATGAGAATAAAATTCCAATTCACTTATTTTATTATAAGGATGATAACTGTGTTGAATACCTCGTTTTATAATTTTGTGTTGTAAATGAGATGAATGAAGAGTTTCATAGTATTTTAAATTTCTATGAAGTCCATCTACAATGATATCTTTTTAAAAATAAATTGATCATATTAAAATTGCTTATACAATAATATAACGATACAATAGTAATAAAAAAAAACTTACTGCTGTTGTAAATAATAAAAGACATACAATAAATCAAAAGAGTAATTTGAATTTCCATGTCTAACACAAACGTTCTAAACTACTAAAACATTCGTGTT